CAGGGGCCTGTGTCGACCCAGTTCACTGCAGCTTGCTCGTATCGGTCGCTCACTCACCCGTCGTTGCTGTGGCACCACCGACTAGGTCACCCCGCACTCCCGTGTCTGCGTCACATGTCCCATGACGGTCTTGTCTTCGATCTCCCTGCGTCGCTCCCTGCCCTTCCTCCCTCGCCTGTGCCGCTGTGCACACCTTCTGTGGAGGGCCGGCTGCGCCATGCTCCTCACTCCTCCTCGCTTCCCCTACCACTGCGCCACTCCAGGCCCTGCACCTAGATGTCTGGGGCCCAGCCCCCGTCCCTAGGCCGCGTCAGGAGTGCTACTTTCTAGTGCTTGTCGATGACTACTTGTGCTACACCATGGTGTTTCCCCTAGAGCGGAAGGCCGATGGCCTAACGTTCTTATCCGATGGGTCGTCGCTGCACGAGTCCACCGCGGCCTCCCTGTGCTGCGTCTCCACTCCTACCGTGGCGGCGAGTCCACCGCAGCCTCTGGTCGGCTTGGTTTGTTCTATCGTGCTGAGGGCATCACCCAGTCGTACACCCTGCCAAACTCCCCGCAGCATAATGGAATCGCTGAGCGAGGCATCGGTTTGGTCATGGAGGTGGCTCGTACCTCCATCATCCATGCCGGTGCACCCTATTTTCTGTGGCTGTTCGCTGTTCGCTATGCCGCTCACCAGCTTAACCTGTGGCCGCACTCCCAGCACCCGTAGGTTTCGCCGACCCTTCTCTGGATCAGGTTGCCTAGTGACGCATCTGCGTTCCAAGTTTGGGGCTGCCTTGCTCACGTTTGTGCCTCTGGCACGGACAAGCTCACTGCCCGCACTGACACTGTGTCTTCCTAGGTTTCCCCCTCGAAACGTCTGACTTGCACTTTTACCACCCGCCATCTCAGCGCTTCTTTCACTCACGTGATGTCACTTTTGACGAGTATGTCTCCTTCTACCACCGCTTTCCCCACCGAGATCTCCCGGTTTCCCCCCCCCCTATTTTTGGTTCCCACTCCTTCGGTAGCCCCTGCTCCCCTCCCTTTTTGTCCTGCCCCATCTGGTGTGTCTGACGTCACTCCCCTCCCGTCGGTTGTCCCGGTCGAGGAGTCGGCTGACTCTAGTGGCCCCGCGGCACCGTTCTCACCGTTCTCACCGTCTCCGCCCCAGTGTCTCCTCCTCCTCCGCCGTCGCCGCAGCAGCAGCAGCAATCGCAGCTGCGGCAGCAGCAGCCGGCGCAGGGGTCCGCCAGCTCTTGGGGTGCGGGCGTTGAGCAGGGTGCTAGTCTCGGGGGTACTTTCGTGGCTTGTCTCGGCGGTCCTAGGGGTGGCACCAGTGCTGGGGAGGGTACTCGTTCTGGGGGTGCTGGTTCAAGGGGTGCTAGTCCTGCGGCTACTGTTTTTGCTTTTGGTGGTCCTGGGGGTGGCATCGGTGCTGGAGAGGGTTCTTGTTCTGGGGGTGTTGGCATGGAGAGTCCCGGAGGCAGACATGGTGTAGCTGGAGGTTTTAATGTCGGTGTGGAGCAGCAGCGGTAGCAGCAGTCACCGCCGATGTCCTCGCTTCGCCTCCTCGGTCTTCCCTCCCCTGACCACCCACCTACGCCTCTCCCGCAGCCGCCTCCCCTGCTTGTCTACGGCCCTCTGTTTCCACTGCCGGACTCGTCTCCAGCTCGTTTCCCCGCTCGTTCTCCTCCTATGTCTCCTCCTGTGTCTCCTGACCTGACGCCTCCGTCCCACTTCTGGTCTCGCCGTCCATCTCATGCTCGTCCTGTCTCTCCTGTTCAGCGCTCTCACCCTATGTTGCACCGTTCCCAGGCGTCTCGTCCTCCCCTCCTCCCGTCGCCACCTCTATCGTCGATTGTTGTCACTCTGCCTCCTCTGTTTGACTACCTTCGTGCCGCTAGTTCTCTTGTTCCTCGAGTCCTTGCCTCCCTCGTTACCGACCCGTCTGTTCCTGTCTCGAGTTTTGACGCTCTTGTTGCTGCCATTGGTGACTTTGCCTCTACCCGCCGCCTTGACTATGACCGCTCTAGTCTCTGACCCTGCCCGTCCTCCGTCCATCAGGGATGCTTCTGCCCTCGGCAGTGACGTCCTAGAGGACCGGCAGTACGAGCTTGCTTTCCTGTCCGAGGTCGCGCCTCATTTCTTCTCCATGCTGTTAGTCCCTGAGGGTGACCCAGACGCCTTTGACATCCCGACCCCTCGCGCTTATGCTGAGGCGACCTCGGGACCCTGGGCCTCTCAGTGGATACCTGCCATGGATGCGGAGATGGCATCTTGGAGTTCCAGCGCCACCTTCGTCGACGCAGTTCCCCACCTGGGGTGAACGTAGTCGATGGCCGGTGGCTCTTGAAGGTGAAGCGCCCTCCTGGAGAGCCACCGGTGTTCAAGGTGTGGTACGTTGCTAGAGGCTTCAGTCAACGCGATGGGGTTGACTTCTTTCAGACCTTCGCCCCGACCCCAAAGATGACCACTCTTCGGGCGCTGTTATACGTAGCACCTCAGCGTAACTACGAGCTGCACTCTTTGGACTTCTCCACAGCGTTTCTCCAGGGCAGTCTGCACGAGCAGGTCTTCCTGTGCCGTCCGCAGGCGTTCACCGGCACCTTCGCCCCTGGGACCGCGTGGCTCCTCCAACGCCCAGTTTACGGCCTGCGGCAGGTGCACTATGAGTGGCACAACACGCTGCGTGCTACGTTAGCTGACTTACAGTTCTTCCAGTCGTCTGCAGACCCTTCACTCTTTGTCCGTTCAGGATAGACCCCGTTCTACATCCTTGTCTACGTAGATGACCTGGTCTTTGTTACTGTAGACAGAGACGCTCTGGCCTCGGTGAAGGCTGAGCTGCTGAGGAGACACAACTGCACTTACCTAGGAGAGCTGTGCCGCTACCTTGGGCTGCAGATCTCCAGGGACAGAGCAGCGCGCACCATCACTCTCACACAGTCACACTTGGTGCGTCAGGTCCTTCAGAGGTTCGGTCTTCAGTTCTCCTCCACGCAGCCCACACCTCTGCCAGGTTTGCTCGTCTTGTTTGTACTCTTCTAACAGGTCTTTAGACCCTTGCCTCGGAGGTTGGACTAGTAGTGCCACCCTAAGCTGCATGTCTCTTGCCACGCACCGCCCCTTGTGTAGCCTAGGGGGTGTGTCAACATATATATGTACATGTTTTAGGCTAGATAGTTGCATGCTCATAGAGGGTACATCACCATAGCACAAAACCACCCTGTATGGCACAATCTAGTTCATTGCATTATTCGAACATACTGTACAGCGCTGTTGCCACGCCTGACAGAAGATTTTTACTCTTCTAATCTCCCAGACAGTCTGAAATACGAATTTTAAAATTTCAGATGAGGCTTTCAAGAGTTTCTTATCCCTTCCCCTCCCTGGTTTCGCGTTTAGTAATTTTGCGTGCCTGAGGTACGGCGACAAAATCGGTTGGTGGAGATACGGGATGGTGGCAAATCACGTGTGGTGGACGAAATTGAGGGATGGATCATGGGGCGGAAAGGAATTGGGGGGCGGACAAATCAAAATTGCAGGGGAGATAGGGAAATTGGGGGCATAGAGGTGGCTATTTCGTGAAGGGCCAATGGGCGACCTCACACACACAGGCCGCGACACACCTCGGCATTTTTTTTCAAGGGCCAATCGGCCCCGCATGCATCACAAACTGGGAGGTGGTTTTGGTGAAGGGCCGGTCAGCTCCCTCACACAGCCCCCAGTATGCATCGGCCTTCGATTTTGGTGAAGGGCCAGTAACCGCCCTCACAAAGCCCCGAGCAAGCATTCCGCCCTGATTTTGGCTAAGGGCCAATCAGCGCACCCCACAGGTGAATCACCCCCTCCCTACCCCCAATCACGATATTACACGAATCAGAGTCAATCCCCTATACAGAGTTGAGGCATCAGAGTACACTAATGAAAAAAGTCTGAAAAAACAGCGTACGTATATAAATCTTCTCTGAAAAATCAGAGAAAGGTACAAAAGCAAGTCTTCCCAATCAGAGTACACCCCCAATAAAAGTCTGAAAAATGTCTGAATCAGTGTAAAAATTCTCCAATTTGGTGGCCTGTTCAGGGTCCTATGCAATTCCCCCAACATTTTTCATTTAGGCACATCACCTCACCACCATTCACATGCTGTAATGGAGCGCAAAGAGCGTATGTGGAAGGATTATGGGACATTCCATGGCCCAAAATTAGAGGCACCCTTGGGAATCAGGGTACCACAACATAATTGCACTGCCTCCTAGGGTGGAATTTTCAGCACCCTTTGAAAATCAGGGTCAATTGAAAAAAATAGCCAATAATACCCTGTTTGAGTCAAATTACTAATGCCATCACCCTGTGCTCTACGATTTCAACTTCTTCTGACTAGCAAGCATACCAACAGGATCACTACAGCAGGGGTTCTCCTCCTCCCCCTCCTCCCCCTCCTCCCCCCCCTCCTCCTCCTCCGCCACCTCATCCTCCTCCCCCTCCGCCTCCCCCTCCTCCTTCTCCTTCCCCCTGACCTGCCCCGCCACAAAGCCGTTGTTGTCCCAGTTGTGCCGCGCAGGAACATGTCCTCCGACACGTTGATCACAGGCTCTTCGCGCATGTGTTGAAGCACAAGTTAGTTGTCGGCGCCATTCATGGAGTTGGAGATGCCGCACGTCTTGAACGCGCGGATGCGCCGGTGCCGTATTACGCGAACCATTTGGCGTACTGAGCGCGCACTCCCGCTTTGAAGCACCTGTTGATAGACACGTCAAGGGGCTGAATAAGGGGTGTACATCCACCTGGGATTATTGCAGGTACGATACTGTGTGTCCTGTAGGCGGCCTTCATCCCGTCAGTGAGATGACCCCTGTAGGAATCCAAGACCAGCATGCTGCGTTGGGCGGCTGATCCACGCTTGGGGTTTAGGAACAGCAGCACTTCCTTCAAAAGCCACTTCTTCACGGCCTCCTCGTCCATCCAGCCATTGACCTGCACTTGAACCTCGATGCCTGCCACGCACACACATACACATGAGGTAATAAAGCAGGTGCAATTAAGACACAGAGTCATGATTGCACGCCTGCCATGCATACATAGCCAAGCTGGGCATGCAAAAGGGGGAAAAGCCAACCTACCTGGAGGGCATTCGCACTTGGGTTTGGTTTTGCGCTTGAACCAAACCCACGGATGAAGCTTGTCCCCATTCGCCGAGCAAGCCAGCATCACCGTCAAATGTTGTTTCTCGTATCCCACACTCTTCACTGGAACGGAGCGTAATCCATTGTGCTCCAGGGTCCTTTCCGTCGGCATCTCGACAAACAGCGGCGTCTGATCCGCGTTGATGATGCGGCGCATGTCGATGTTGTGGCGGGCTCGGTTGATTCAGAACCCCTCACAATCTTGGGCGCACTCTGTCAATAGGGGGAAGAGGGACAAGGGTGGGGGGGAGGAGGAGGGGGAGGGGGAGGGAGAGGGGGATGAGAGATCAGACCTTGTTCAGCTAGCGGAACTGTCCATACCGCATGCAAGGCAAGCAAGAGAAGGAGCAGGGATGGGCGATGAGTCCAGCAAGCAGAGGCGATCAGCCAGCAAGGGAACGCAAGAAAACTCTCACCTAGAGAGAGCTTTTGGCCGACCTTAGTGCGGCAGCGCATGGTGAATCCCCTGCGCTTACAAAACCGCTGGCTCTAGCGGCTGGATGCCTACCAAGGGCCCTTTGGCTGCTGCTTGCAAATGCAATTGAGGCTCCACTCACGGATCTACTTCACACCGATCGCCAAGCCGAGTCCCTGCTGCTCGTAGATCCACTTGCACAGCTTCTCCTCCATGACAGGGTGATGAGCATGCCGCACCGTGCCGTGGAGTTGCTTGCGATACTTGGCGGCACCCTTGTACCGCCCAAGCATCTGCTGGTCCACCCACCGCTTGATGGAACACGGGCCCACGCCCGCCTGCACTGCAGTCCGATTGAAGGACTTGAGCTCGTAATAGCGGCGAGCCCATTTTGTCTTCTCCTGCACGGTGAAGCTATGAGGACACTTCTTCGAGAGTCGGTTTCACGGAGTCGGCGGCTGGGCATCTGGATTCTTCTCCTAGGGGATTTTCGGCATCATACATGCATGATTTGGCAGTAATGCTGGTAGAAGTAGCTGAAAAGCGCCCCTACCCTAGCTCACCGCACCTGCCCTAGCTCGCCGCACCGCGCTGGCCTTAGCTCTCTGTGACGCGCTGGCCTTAGCTCGCTGCAATGGCCCTAGCCCACCGCGCTAGCCCCTAGCCTGCCGCGCCGCGCAGCGTCGGCCCCCAGCGCGTCGCGCCGTGCTGGCCCCTAGCCTACCGCGCTGGCCCAGCTTGTTGCGTCGGCCCTGTCTTGCCGCGCCGCACTAGCTCGCCGCAGGCCCCAGCTCGCCGCCGGCCTCTAGCTCGCCGCCGGCTCCAGCTCGCCGCCGGCCCCAGCTCGCCGCCGTTCCCACCTCGCCGCGCGGCCCCCAGCTCGCCGCCAGCCCTAGCTCGTCGAAGGCCCCAGCTCGCCGCCTGCCCCCATCTCGCTGTCCATCCAGCTTGCTGTCGGCTCCAGCTAGACGCCGGCCCCAGCTCGCCACCCGGCCCTAGCTCGCCGCCCAGCCCCAGATTTTGCACGGCCTTCAGCTTGCCACCGACCCCCCGCTCTGTCTGGGAGTCGCGTAACACCACTACACAACTAGATATTAGTTACGCTCTCCCACTGTCCGAGCATCCCCGTTTTCAGGCCCTAGAGACGGCCAAGGAGTACTTAGATGCAGTTATCGTTCACTATTCCTCTCCCTCCTCCACCTCTGCTGGTCGTCTCCTCCTACCCCTGCTCTTCCTTGACCTCACGTCATTCCCCACTGTCGCTGATCTTGCCACTCACCTGCGCGCTCTCGTTACTAGCTACTGCGCTATTAGCATTGAGGCTCAGCTTAGTGTACTTCCTCCCCCCATCGGCGCTACGCTTTATTTCCTAGCCACTCATCTCCCCGACCGGCTAGCCACTACCCCCGACACCTTCCTTAGCCTCCACGCCATTGACCTCACCCTTAGCAACTTCTGCGCCACCCTGTCCGTAATAGAGACCCGCCAGCGCACTATCGCTTAGTCTAGCGGGAGTGCGGCGGTACCTATCTTCCAGGGCTGTGCTCCCTCCCAGTGCACTTACTCTGATGTTTCTGCGGCTATCACTGTGACAGTCCTTGTCGTTGAGACCGTCACGGTGGCCTCAGCGGAGCCTCATCAGGGAAGAGCCCCCCATCACCCTAGAGGGGGGCGTAAGGGTGGGAAGGGTGTTGGGGGTGATGGGGGTGGCGTGGGAGGTGGCGGTGGTGGGAGTGCTGGGAGTGGAGACGAGGGGGTGGGGGCTGACGCCCTAGAGAAGAATTAGAAGTAGCAGCAGTAGTAGCCGAGGCAGCAGCAGCACAAATAGCTGAGGCAACAGTAGCAGCAGCAGCAGTAGAAATAGCCGAGGCAGCAGCAGCAGCACCAACAACAACAACAACAACAACAACAACAACAACAACAACAACAACAACAACAACAACAACAACAACAACAACAACAACAACAACAACAACAACAACAACAACAACAACAACAACAACAACAACAACAACAACAACAACAACAACAACAACAACAACAACAACAACAATATTAGCAGCTGCAGCAGCCGTGGGGGCCCCGTCGCCATGGTGGCAAAGCGGCTTCGGTGGTGGTGGCCACGGAGGCGGCACTAGCACCTCGACGTCGGGTGGCGGCTCTAGTTTGGTGAGTTGCCAGTACCAGATTCAGACTGGTCCTCGTCGTGACACCGTGCGTGACCGTCTCGGTCACACTGTCGCCTGCCGCTTCCGCCGCTTCGACAACCTTTTCCGTCTTCGCTTCGGTCCTGCATCCTATCTCTCGGACTGGCAGAGCATGGTACATCGCCGTGTGCCAGTGTTTGAGCTTGATATGGACCAGATCCGCTCTGCTTTGCATGCCATGTATGCAGATAACTCTAGTGTTACGGGACCTTATTACCAAGTGTTGCATAGCCTAGGTGTTCCTGCTGTGTGTAGTCTAGGCTCCCCTGCTGTGTCACACGTTGGACCTCCTGACTTGTGTAGCCTTAGCTCCACGCTAGTGCCCCCGCCGACTGACGCCACCGCCGTGCTTGCCTTCATGCTGGACTCTGATGCATCCGCCTCCTTCTTCCGCGACCACACCACTCTCACGTCGCTTTCAGCACCAGCAGTCGTCTCCTTTGCCGACCCCTCCTCAAGTCCGGTAGTTGCAAGTAGTTCCACAACACTTCCTTGTCCGGCTGTTCCTTCTGGCTCTCTTACAGGTCTTCAAATCCCCTCATTCTCCAAGAAACTGGTGTGTGGCAGCTATCTTCACAAGCTCGGTGTCACCACCACGTTTCCTGGACATGAGCAATACACGGTCTGTACTGAGGCCGCCACTGGTGCCCCTCTCGCCACATTCCCCCGTTACCCAGTGTCTCTCGCCACCCTATATCTCTCCGTTCTCACGCATCTCGTGCTCCTCCTGCTCCTGTTCTCCCGTCGCCTCCTCAGTCGTCTCTCGCTGTCTCCTCGCCCTCTTGTTCCTCGTGTCCTCTATTCTCTTGTTACCGACCCGTCCATTCCTGTCTCCAGTCTCTTGCCTCTACCCGCCGACTTGACTACACCACTGCTCTGGTCTCTGACCATGCCCTTCCTCCATCCGTCAGGGGTGCACCTGCCCTTGGCAGTGACGTCCTAGAGGATAGGCAGTACGAGCTAGCTTTCCTTGCGGAGGCTGCTCCTCAACTCTGCTCCATGCTGCTAGCCCCTGAGGGTGACCCAGACGCCTCGCACCTTGGGACCCTGGGCCTGTCAGTGGATAGCTGCAATGGACCCAAAGATGTCATCTTGGAGATTCACCAGCACGAACGTCGACAAAGTTCCCCTATCTCGTGCGAGCGTAGTCTATGGCCGGTGGCTCTTCATGCTGAAGCGCCCTTCTGGAGTGCCGCCGAAGTTCAAGGCGTGCTATGTTGCTAGAGGCTTCAGTCAGCGCGAGGGGGTTGACTTCTTCCAGCCCTTCGCCCCGACCACGAAGTTGACCACTCTTCGACCGCTACTTCACGTAGCAGCAAAGCGCGACTACGAGCTTCACTCACTTGACTTCTTCATAGCGTTCCTCCAGAGCAGTCTGCACAAGCAGATCTACTTGCCTCTTCTGCAAGGCTTCTCTAGATCTTTCCCTCCTGGGACTGAGTGGTTCTTTCGGCGCCTGGTCTACGATATGCGGGAGGCACCCCGTGAGTGGCACGACTCGGCATGCTACACTAGCAGACCTCCAATTCTTCCTGTCCTCTGCTGACCTGTCTCTCTGCTGACCTGTCTCTCTTCGTTCTTTCTACATCCTTATCTATGTAGATGACCTGATCCTTTGCAGACAGATATGCGCTAGTCGCGGTGAAGGCCGAGCTGCTGAGGAGTCACACCTGCATACACCTAGAAGATATTCGTCGCTACCTCGGGCTGCAGATCTCCAGGGATAGAGCAGCACGCACCATCACCCTCACACAGTCACACTTGGTGCGCCCGGTCATTCAGAGATTCGGCCTTTAGTTCTCTTCTGCACAGACCACCCCTCTGCCTGTTGATCACAAGCTCTCGGCTCCAGTCCCTGACGAGTCGGTCGAGCCTAGTGGTCAGTCTGCATAGCTTGTGGGTTGCCTCATGTACCTTATGACTTGCACTCGTCCAGATCGCGCATATCCTCTTAGTATCCTCGCACGCTTTGTTGCAACACGCATACAACGATCTCAGCATTGGTCGGCTGTCAAGAGGGTGTTGCGATATCTAGCAAGTATATCAGGCTTGGGGCTAGTGCTGGGAGGACGCTGGCCGGTGGTTCTCACAGGGCACACAGACGCTTCGTGGGCGGACGACGCTGAGACACTCAGGTCATCCCAGGTTACTGCTTTAGCTTGTTAATAAGGCGAACACTTCTATAATGGGGTTGCTGCGCAGCTCGGCCACGAAATTCAAATCGCAGTGGCCTCTTGATGCGCCGCATGCAAATTGCCCGCCTTGCTGTTTCACCTAGATGTGGGCGCGTCGCGCTAATTTATAAACCACAAGTCGCAGCTCTATCGAGCCATGAATGTGTGCTATAGGCTAGCTATATCCATGCTCTCCGCTATTTTGATATTGCCTCAATTGTATTGTTTCCTCGTTACCCAGGGTACATTCCTACGCCCTCGACAGTTTGTGCTTTCGTCACTTTGGTGCATACACCTCGAACCGCACGGCAATTTAGAGAAACCTCTCGTCATCATTGCAATTTCGTGTTGCGATCCTATGCGACACTCATTCGACACCCACCAAGCACGTCCTGGATGGTTACCCACTATGAGCACAATCCGTTACTCGAACTCTCTAAAAACAAAGTTCGGATGATAATTTGGGTTGCGTAGCAACCGTATACGGTCGTTTTCACTTTTGGTGCACCAATTTGAGAATCGCGTTGTTACTATATTGTCTTGTGTTTAAGATTCGAAGTAGACTTACTCTTTCCTACAATTCTATTTGATTTGTATGATTTTGTATACTATTTGTGGTGAGAAAGGCAGATGTATCTTGTACTTTTCATACGTCGCTAATTACAGCAATAAAACAACACAAAATCATGCTTATTTTGTGACCACCACAAATCCGTGAGACTACGACCGCACTTGTGAATGGTGGGACGCGTCTATGCTTACAACTAATCGAACATCGATAATTGCGGTTGTAGAAGAGAAGAATAGCACGACTTCCCAACCAACCACAAATGCAACGAGGCAGAAAAAAGTGGCATGCTAACGGATTGGCTGTTTGCGATGGATATGATGACACGCATTTGTGTTTCTTTACTACTATCCACGCGTTGATAAATACGGCAGCAGAAAAGCAGTAGGACGCATCAGCAGCATCGCACAATAGCCACCGCAACTGACTAGGATACAACACATGGCACCAACTGTTAGAGTAACCAAGTGTGCTCTAGCAAGAGCATACTGTACATGGTGATATAAGGGTTTGGGTTGTTCTCTCTAAGAGCACGAACCTGTCTAGCCTAGAACTATACATGCACAACAAATGTATAATTGGCTCACCCCCTGGACTAGATAAGGGGCAGTGCCAAGCAAGAGACACGCAGCTCAGGACGGCACTACTAGTCCAACCTCTGCGGCAGGGGTCCGAAGACCAGTCAGCAAGAGTACAAACTATAAGAGTAACTCAGGGTGGCACTACTCGTCTTGCCATTGAGATAAGAGCCACAAGGCCAGTCAAGATATTATAAGGAATAGAACACAAGTTAGGGTCCTAGCAAGTGAGGAGCTACTGGAACTAGACCAAGCTGTAAGCAGTGCCGCTGATGATCCTTAAGCGCAAGTGCTTTGGTAAAGATATCAGCGATGTTGGCACCGGAGGCTAAGTGTAATATGAATGCCTGGCCGCGCTCCTGTAGCTCGTGCAGGAGGAAGTACCGCAGCTGGATATGCTTCGCTCTGCCCTCTAGTCAAGGCTCCTGACACAGGAGGATCATGGCACTGTTGTCAGCGTACAGGACCGGGGCAAAGCTAGGCCACTCATTCATGCCAGTGAGCAGGAACATCAGCCAGCGGAGCTCCTGTGCCGCCATGGCACCAGCGTAGATCTCAGCCTCACAGCTAGACTGTTCAACAGACAATGAGCGGGTGGACCTCCACAAGATAGCGCCTGCCCGTGATAAGGAAATACCATTTCCTTATACCCTCCCCCCTCCAAGGTATGGTCTTAGCTAAGACCGCTGACGTCGCGCACATTGCGTGACTAGAGGTAGACATGTAACATTGGGTAATTCTTAGTCTGTGTCAGGGGCACTCAACTGTTTTCTAGGGCCATTCGGTCCTTCCAGGATATCAGAAACCCAGTCATGCGGGCCCCTTGAGGGTCCTTGATCCGATGGCTGAGAATCTCCGCAGGTTCGACGGTAGGCAAGGCGAGCGGTCGAGTGTTCGAGTTGGCTCGATGACGTGGTAATTTACTGGTGCTAGAAATGTATGGTCGTAGTAACCGCACGTGGAATGATGGGCTGACGTTCCAGGTGGCCGGTAACAGTAGATGGGATGTAACAGAAGATATCATGTGGCTGATGGTAAATATTCCATAGTAGCGGGGGCGAAGTTTTGGGACGATGGGCAGTCGAAGGTTCTGGGTGTCGAGCAGCACTAAGTCTCTGGCCTGGTAAATTACTGCTTGTCAGTGTAGATCGGCATTTTGTAATATTTTGGCGAACTGTTGGGCTCAAGGTACTGGATTTTCAATGTTGGGCGTGATCAGTACTGTAGGAATCTGTCCATGATTCAGGTGAAATTGTGACTGTCGGGTAGTGGTTGACAGGGCGTTATTATACGCGAACTCAATTTGTGGCAGTTGCTGCTCCCAGTCGGCCACGTCATTGCAGGTGGTGCAATTCAGCTGCTCCATTGTTTGATTGGCCCGTTCAGTCTGTCTGTAAGTCTCGGAATGATAGGCGGGGAAGGATTGTTGGCGCGTGCCAAACTATTCCCAGAGGTTGCACCAAAAGTTGTTAGTGAATTTTGTATCACGATCTGAAATGATGGCAGATGGAATTCCGTTGAGGCGAACGACGATTGAGATGAAAGGGCGTGTTGTTTCTTTGGCTGAGATGCTTTTCTTGCAGACAGCAAAGTGAGCCATCTTTGTCAGCATATCGACGACGACAAATATCGCGTCATTGCAGCCGTCCTGGGCAGGCAGTCCCGTGACGAAATCCATCGTCACCTGCTGCAACGCACGCTCGGCCGGCGGAATCGAATGCAACTGTCCGGCTGGCATTTGCTTCAATGACCACATGACGCTGCACGTCCCCTTGCATGTCAGGCCATAAATAATATTTGGTCAGCTATTGCCGTGTTTTCTCTACTCAAAATGCCCTTAGACTGTACTATTGTTGCCTTCGTGTAGTAGTACCTCCCCTAATAAACTATAATCTGGTACCCAGATGCTGTCAGTCCTTGTCTTTACGCAATAGACTCCCTTAGCCTTTGCAAGCTGTTCGTACTCACCCGACATAAAATTCTGTCCATCTGGTAACCGTGGGTGAATAGGCCTGTTAATAGCAGGGACGTTTGGGCGAGGATGATGGAGTATAGATGGGCGGATGGGCGAAAAGGGGGTCTGCAATGTTCGATGCCCCTATTTTGTAGGTGACAGTTTAGTGGAAATTGGATTCCATAAAATCCAACCACCGGATTTGTCGCGGGTTGAGCA